ACTAAAATCTGCCTGTTCTGTTCCCCACTCTGTCTCTGGTGAATCCTCTCATGCCCCCACACCTCTGGCCTGTATCCCAGTTCTTCTCTGCATGAATTTTTTTTTTTAATTTGCAAATTTGTATTTCTTCTTTTATTGATTGAAGATGGAAAACCCCACACACAGGTGGGAAAAAAAAAAAAAAAAAAAACGATTGCTTCAGAAAAGCACCCTTGCCCAGCTGCTCTGTACTCCAGAGGCTGTGTTGCACCTGAAATGGTGCTCCTTCACCAGAAGGTAGAGCCTGGAGGAACAGCTTCTTAGAATCTTGGCAGTGGGGACAGATGTCACCTACTTCAGTTACAGGCCCCAGCTTTCTTGGCCATTTCTGCCCAGAAGCCTGAGGGCTCTGCTCGCAGTCCAGTCCCCACTACACCTGAGGAATGCGGCTCAGGCTCAGTCTCTGTGTCTGTGGTCCTCCCTGGGCAGACCCCTGCTCAGGCTGTTGAGGATGCTCCCTGCTTCCTTGAGCCACAGAGCCAAGAGCTGGCACAAAATGGGACAACTGGTTAGTGACATTCCTATGGCCATTTCCCTGGGGCACCTGCCCCCTGCACTTGCTCCCTAAGGACCCTCCAGTTCCTATGTGAAAGTCACTGGCCCCACTGCAGAAATCTCCAAACATGAGGTGCTGGGAAGGGAGCTACATCCCCTTTGCTTATAGCTGGAACCGAGGCTGGTGCAGTCACCACACTGCGCCTGTCTCTGTGAGGCTAGTGGAAGTTCCCAGCAGAATGTGGTTAATGACAGCGATGAGCATCAACATTCATTGTGAGCTGATGTACATAATAAACACTCAATGAATGGCCTCATAATCCATAATTATGCATATGTGTTGTAAGTGTACCTCGTCTCCTCTCACATTTCTGCAGGATAAGTACTATTATTATTTCTATTTTATAGATGATGACCTGAGCACGAGCTCGATGAAGCAACTTATTTAGGCCCTAGAACTCTTGAGGGTCAGTTCTTTGAGATTCAAGTTAATAGGCTCACTGTCACCCTCAGGCTTACACTGATGACAATGAACATACATATCACGGGACTGCAGAGTCAACATCTAATAAAATATTTTGTAGGTGATGACTCATTTCAGGAGATGATCAGCTTTTGTGAGCCTTCTTTTTTCCTGCCATTTTCCCTGTTTTCCCTTTTACTTTCTAGTCATCCTGACTTGATTCCATCAACCTTTCTATAACTTCCCAGCATCAAGCCGTTTTCTGGGCACACAAAGAGTGACAGGATATGGGCCAGGCCCAGCAAACTTGAGGAGCAAGAGCCAGGTATGAAAGATTTTAGCCAAGAGTCCTGAGTCATCCTGCTAATGGATGAAAGAGGGGGTGCCGTGGCCCCGGAGACAAACCTGGCTGTCGTCATTGTGTACAGGAAGGTGCTGCCCGAGTTCCTTTCAGGCATGAAATTAAAGATTCCAGTACCTGAACTGCTAGTGCCCGGACAGTCAGTGCAACATTCACTCTGCTCCCCTCACCTGGGTTCATGTTTCCTTTCCGTAAGATACCCCTTTTGTTGAGAGAGAAAACAAGAAATCTACACTTTGAACTTTAGGTGTATGATCTTACTTTCTCTATTCACCAGTTTATTTCTTATTAAAAATAAAAGGAAAGGAGGAAATATTATTGCTTGCCCTGTTTGCCTTTGCAGAGATGTTATAAAATCAATTAAGTTATAGTGAAGGCAAAAGAGGACCAAATTATGGAAACAGAAGGACTTTTGTAGATCCCTAACATGGAATTTAAAGCTCTGAGTGGTACTGCCTACCCACCTCGACCCCTGAACAGGTGCCCGCACACATGTTCTCTGTGTTGCGCCTCAAGTTACCCACTCCTTGCCTTTGTTATGTTCTTCCAATGCCGGGAGTGCCCTCCCCACATCCTCGTTCCTGACTCGCCGCCTTGCTTAAATGCCATCTAGCCTGTTCTAAAATAGTGCCCTTTCCTCATTTGCTCAATTAAATATCTATCTCTCACAAAACTACACTCAGCATCTGTGATTAGAACTAGCTGTCAGGGCCTCCTTGGTGGCGCAAGGGGTTAACCACAGTAGTGTGAAGCTATCCGCAGCCTCTGCAGCACCAGTTCAATCCCCGGCTGAGTTCAAGCCTCAGCCAGCAAGGGAGCTAGCCACATGGCCCAGCAGACCTCTCCTGTCTCACCTGCTGCTCCCCTCAGTAGTGTATCTCAGTAGATCTGCCTGTTTTCCCCACTCTGTCTTTGGTGAATCCTCTCACCACTACCCCACATCTCTGGCCTGTACTCCAGTTCTTGCATGCATACATGCATAAATAAATCTTTTTTTTAAAAAAGAGCGGGCCTCCCCGTTGGCGCAGCTGTTGAGTGCTGGGTTGCGAGGCTGCCCGCAGCCTCTGCAGTGCCGGTTCGATCCCCGGCTGCTCCCCGACCACTGGAGGAGGGTCCCACATGGTGCGCAGACCTCTCCTGCCGCCCGCTGCTCCCCTCAGCAGTGTACTTCGGTCCTTCTGCCTGCTCTGCTCCCCGCTCTGGCTCTGGTGGATTCTCTCGCCCTCCCGCGCTTCTGGCTGTATCCAGTGCTTGTATGAATAAATAAATAAATCTTAAAAAAAAATTAAAAAATAGAAAAAAGAGCTAGCAGTCATCTAAACTTAGGATTCTTTGCTTAGATATGCCCTGCAAAATTTGAATAAAATGTTGAACCATATTCTGCTTCTCTTCTAATCTATTCCCTTCCCTGCTGGCCTCCAACATCCTACACTCAATGCATCAATTGGCCCATAGTGGGGACCCAGCACATGCATTCTGGGTAATTTAAGGGGCATCAAATTCAATGGACACATCTCCATAGATCTAGAGGAATTAAGCATTCCCTTCAGTTAAGTCAAATATCACAGGTAGGGTATGAAGTTTGACTGTCATCTGTTGGGTGGGGATCAGTGCCCTGGAAAAGAACCTTTCCCCAAATGCAGACTGAGAACAAGTGCAATAACTCAGATGATTTTAGGTGATGCACAGTTAAATTTTCTTTTTTCTTTTCAAATTGAGTAATTATACCATCTCATATGTATTTAAAAAAGAAATATAATTAGACATCAAAATTATGATTTCATGAAAGTTCTTTAATAAAAGCTCTTGAGTTTGGATAAAAATGAGTTGACTTAAAGAAACACACTACCTATTAACAGTGGTACAGGCTATGGCCAGGTGATGTGATGATAGTGAGTTAAGTTGGGAAAACTTCAAGATAGAGAAAACAGTTTAGGGGAGGAGTGTGGAGGTGGAGTTGCTGGTGAAGAGGTGCCTGGTCAGATCAATAGGTAGTGGCTTCAGGAATTGACCAAATTATTTACAAAGCTGGGTTATTGCATGAAAAAGAAAACAAAACTTTATTTGAAAAGCAATACAAACAGAAGCTTTCTCATTGTTGTTTCTTTTTTGCAATGACGAAATATGCTCGTGAATGTCTCCTCACACATCCCTCAATCTTTGCAGCTATGGGCACCAAGTTTCATAACAGCAATGGGGTTTAATCCCTTTCCCAGAACTTTCATGTACAAAGGAGCAAATATGAGTTTACTTTTCCTTTTTCTGCAAAGCACAACACTTTACAAAAGGTAAAAAACTTCAAAGACAATCCTTTCCTTGCATACATTTCAGAGTTCCATTCGAGATCCACATTCATCTTCCTTATCCAATTACATGATCAAAGCAGAAGTGTTTGGCCTACTTTAGGGATTTTAAGACATCTAGGGAAAAAGCTAAGAACATTTGAAAGTACCTTTTTTTAAGCCACATATCTTCCTGTAGGAGCATTGGTATCCACACCCCCTACTCTTCTCTCTTAACTAGTTTCTAGATATAAAAGTTACTTCAGAAGGTTAACATGCTCAAATCATCCAAACCATAAAAGATGAATTTATGTCTCTTAAAATCCATCCTAATCTCCAGTCATTGTGTTTAGTGTACTTGATACTCTCTGCACTGCTGTAAAGTCCCTTATAGAACTTATTGCAAAATTCTTGACTTTTCCTGATTAGTTTTAAAGAGCTCATATTAAAATAAAAACTGCAACAACAACAAGCAGCAACTGAAATGTGTCTTCATTAGTCGCCTCAAAGTTACCGGTTCTCATACATCTGTTCATTTTAATGCTACAATATGGAGTTCATGTTTTTCCTAAAATATGAACTCGTCCTTCATATTACCACTGAGGGATTTCAGGCCCTGATTTACAAAAAAATAGTAAAGATGATGTCCTCAAAAATATTTAAGTGAACAGACTGCCTATTGGAAGATTGATTTTTTTCTATGGAAATGAACATGTTGACAGTCACCAGAATTAGGGTATAAAAGATGACCTCGGGCAGCTGCTGCCATTTGTTTCAGTGGGAAAATGAGGGTTTTGTCTCTCCCTGGGGATTATTACCAGGACGCTCTGAACATGGTCTGGCTCTGTTTCTGAAGGGTTACACTGGAGACGAGCAATGTTTTGTGGTTTATGACAAGATCACAGCAGAATATTTTGTGCAGGCTATGATTTGTATTGCCCATTTGTGCACAGGCCATAAAAGTGCACTTTTTATCAGGAACATTTGTGAATATATAACAGCACTAAAGACATATGGCCACTAAATAATTCACAGTTATCTATCTCCTCAGCAGATTCCTTATACACCTACCATGTTTTAATGCCTAGTTTGCTCAGAAACAAAATTCTTTACAACCCTTCCGATATAAAAATGTTTACTGACTGGCAGCAATATATGGATACCATGGGATTGGGCTGTAAGTAAAGAGGAAGCTTTCTTCCTTTCCCTGTCTCATCTGTTCCTCCTAAACTCTTTCCAGCAACACCTAACTTTTATGGGAGAAGGCACCCATGCCGAAAGTGGGTGCTAGCTCTGACCTCTGGCATTTGGATTATAAAATGGAAGTTGTCGACTAATCCTCACCCTCTTCTCATTTCAGCTCTATCTCCATTTACAGTCCCAAGGAGAACCCAAATGCATTTGATGCAGCGGCATTCTTCCAGTCCGTGGGAAATTTCCTGGGGATCTTCGCGGGCTCATTTGCAATGGGGTCTGCATATGCAGTTGTCACAGCACTGATATCCTTTGTCTGTTCATAGAAAACTGGGAAGTGTTACGAACTGTTAAAGTCCCTGGGATGTTTCTGAGTATGGGCAACCTCCAGGCCAGAAAATGACTACATTTTCTAATTCAAGTGTGATAAAATGCTGCTGGAGCCATTCTGGTTCTCAGTCTTTCTTAGGCCGTAATTGGTACCAGTGGCAGAAGGGACTAGGCTCTTTCCTTATTCAAAACTAGTTTTAGTATTACTGATACTGTCTGACCTAGGCTATCTAGAGTCTTAAGAAAGTTACCAACTTGGAAAATAGGTAGACACATAGACATCAGGATTGGCTATACTAGGGTCAAGGGGAAGAACTGGAGATTCAAAGTCAAGAATGAGACAGGATTGATTGGGAGTGATAAACTGGATATTCTCTGCCTCCTTTTCATACTTGTGTCAATCACTAGCTCATGGCAGTGGCTAAGTCAAAGATGAATGTGGGTTTAAGTAAGTTTCCAAAGCTATTTTATAGAAGGGGACCAAAAAACAATGTAGAAATGACATGCTTGCCACATCGGGCAATGGTGTTTCACATTCCCTCTTTTGTTTAGGGAGTATAGCGTGGGAGGACAGCTAGAGTTTCTAGAAGATTTGAGTCACAGAATGAGGTTGGTGTCATGGATTGATCACTCAGAGCATTCAGATGGACAAAAGTAAGTCGCAATTGAGGAAGAAAGCCAAAAGACCAATGCCAAGTGTGAGGGCTAAATGAAGGTCACCAAGAAGAGACTGAGCAAAGAATCAAGGGTCAAACATCTTGGGGAAAAGAGAGGGAACAGGATACAAGAAGCATCATGGTCTCAGACAAAGAAAGCAAAATCTTTTTCTATTGGAGACTGGCCCAGAGATTCACTGAGTAGTTGCTAAAGAGTTAGGTTCTACTAAGATTTCAAAAATAATCAGAAAATGTTTAAAACATGGGTCTTGTCTTCAACTAGTCTGTCTTCAACTAAACATGGAAAGACAAGCTCTACAATAAGAGTTGGATAAAAAGTGAATTCCAAGACCATAGCCAATTTATTACAACTATAAAAATTCAAATGACACTGTGACTATAATAGTTCAATAGATGAGTTGCCAACCTTTTCTGGAAAATAATTTTAAAAGCAGCACAGCGTGCAGAGTGGGACTTGGATTTGCCTGAAAGGTAGGCTAAAAGCTAAGGCTACACACTCAGAAGACAAGAATTCATTAAGGTGTGGAGATGGGACTGATAGAACATTTGACACATGTGCTTGAGAAGACCAGAATGTCCAGAATGGTGAGCTGAGGGGACAGAGATGGGATCGAGTTGGCTTGTGGAGGTTTCTTCATTTTATGACATAAATGAAGAATTGGTATATAAGATGATTCAGAAAAGGAGAATGATTAGAATAGATGGAAAGTGTGATGATGAACTGTGGGGGAAACATCAGGCAGGGGACCAGGTTTTAGAGGAAAGAATCTTGAAGACTTAATTATTGGTTGGTTATAAGAGACAAAGAATAGAAGAGAATAAAGACCTCTTTATCCAAATTATTGTCCTGGAAACTCTGGAGAATGTCGTCTTTATTGATAGAAATTAAATAAATTGAAAAAAGGGCTGATTTCTAACAAAAATAATGATCACTAATCTAAACAGTACCTGTAATATGTCAGGCCCTCTGCTGTTTGTTTTATATGAAATATCTCAGTTAATATTCACCATGATTTTATCATACGTAACTGTTTGTGTAAGCTGACACCATGAAATAGGCGCCCCTGTGGAACTGACTTCTAGAATCTATATATTCCTAACTACCAAATAATTCTGTATTTTTGATATTTTGTCCTTTCTAAGACTTTACAAAACATTTTTAATATGCTTCACCTCATTTTATTCTCCACACTCTAGGACTATGTATTCTTCTTATTGCCAGTTCACGTAGGATAGGAATTAGTCCCAGAAGGGTTAACATACTGCTCAGAAATCACATAGCCAGTGACTGATGGAGCTAACCCTAAGATGAAGATTTTCCAGCCCAGGAGTCATGGACTACTACTAAATTGTCATGGTCTGTTCTGGTTTTCTGTCTAACATCTCCTAATGTGAGGAATAAAAAATTCTAGAGGAATAAAAAATGCAACAAAATATCTACATCTACATCTATATATATGACTGCACATACAGCATATATATATATTCAGTATACATATATATATATATGTATAGCACACACACACACATATACTATACAATTGCAAAGTAACCCTTTTGCATCAATCCTACATTCCTGATCATCTCTCTCCATAACACATCCGCTGCATGACTGGGATCACTATGCCTTTCTTCTATTTGCAATTTATAGACTATCAATCATCATCCCAGGTAAAATGAGCCATTGCCTGCCAAAGGGTATCTCGATTGACCTAGAAATAACATGTCTTTCCTTCATCCTACTTCTACCAAGAGGCCTAAGCAGTTGCCCTATCACTGAACATAAATTTCCTTCTGATCCAATTTCCATCTCTAGGAGAGCAGTTTCATCAAAGTCATCTGTCCACAGACTAGCACTCCCCAGGGAACAGCCGATGCTCTTACTGTACCCCCACCTCAGTCACGCTCTCCTTGCCTTTTCTTTCCCAGATCTGCTGCTGCCTCCTGAGGGGCACACCCCAAGTGTTGAAGCCCAGCCAAAGGATTTTGTACCCACAGTTAGTTGATATTATCTCTTAGTAAGACACTTTTTTTTTTAATTTGAACAGAAGCTTGTGTTTATTCCAGCGTGCTCAGCCCCCCATGAAGCTCATGCTAGCCTTTGAAGTAGATCCCAGTGAGAGTTACAACCTTCCAGTCAGGTATGAAAATCAGTTCTCTTATTCTAGAAGTGTCACAACGCAGTTCATTTTTCTCAGTCAAGAAGGAAATTTATGTCCAAAGCAGTTGATGTTTTCCTTAACACGTTTTTGTCACTTGACCAAATTTACCAAACTGTGTGAGTTCCCGATGCTGGAGACAGGCCTGTTTTTCCTCTTGTCTTGGAGTGCCTTCCTGTCTGCCGAGGCCGCCGGCCTAACAGGTCAGTGCTTCATCCAGCAAAAGAGCTGGATGTGTGAATAAGTGTGTGTGTCCCTGGGTGGACTCCACTCTGTTCCTGCAAGAGGTGAAATGGAGTCTCTAAATATAGGTTTGTGCCTGAATCTGCCTCTCCTGGGCACCTGAGGGAGAAAAATAATGATAACACATGCATTTGGTACTCAACAACTTCACCGAAATTCTCCAAAATGCCATTTCCTCTTCTCTCCTTGCTGGTTAGGAAAGGATGCTGAAATCTACAAAATACTGATTTATAGCAGTGATGGATGTCTTTACAAATGGAAATGTTGAAGGGACGCACGCTGCTTTATATAAAGGGGTGGCCGCTTTCCATGGGCTGTTAAAAGCAAGAACTCATATAAGCGGTCTCCACAGGGGGTTGTGCAGCACACACATCAGTGTCCAAGGTCTTTGCATATGCTCCGTGGCAGGTCAGAAAACAAAGAGCTCTAATATGTAGGCTTTACAGCTTAATATCTCCAACCATAGAAGATCCATATATAGAATCCTCTGAGGTGGAACAGTTGATAGAGAGAAGGGCATTCCCTAAGGTCCCAAGGGCCATGGATCTTACGATCTGAATTCAACAATTAGATTACTTTCCTGCAGCAGCCGGAGTTTGCGCTTGGATAGCTGCAATGATTGGGTGCTTTTCCATGTAGAAGAATCACTGTAGCTCTGAGCAAAATGTCAAAGCCATTTCTCTCTTTTGGCCTAGTTCTTGGCTTCTCCCAGGTTTCAATCCTTGGTCTCTTGCTGCTCACTACACCTTAATTGACATTCAAATGGTGGGAATCTCCCTGGAAATGTTAACTGGTAACAAGGCATGCCTCCCTGGGTGTTTGCATTTTTAAAGATGGTACTTTAAGTGTAAAGAATAATAAAAGTTGACATATATTGGAGTTATACCAAGAGCCAGGCGCTGACTAATTGCCTTTCACGGATATTCTCATTAACTTACAGAACAACTCAAAGTTAGAAACTATACCCAGCTTACTTGGCCTATAAGTGCTGGGGCTGGGATTTAAAAGTAGGAAATCTCAGGCATCAAGCATTGCTTCCTTGAATAAATTTCCATCTGTGGCTGATCAGGACAGAGTACGAAAATATGTGTGGCCCCAGAAGCCTGCCTGGTCCACTTGCTCTGAGACTGGTTTTGACTTCCTGTGAAACCCATGGCAAATGGTGTGTCATGCTCTGACAACTACCTAACTTACTGCAGAGCTAGAGGGGGCAGCTATTCCCACAGACTCTCGATATGTCTGTTGCTGCAAAGAAAACAGTGCTACTGGTTCTTATGCCACTATAATGAAGGCCATTACAAGAGTCCGCCATACTGATCCATGGATCCAGATTATTCCAACGCAAGATCTATTATGTTCGTGTTTTACAATGTCAGAAGTTGCTCAATGTCTTATGCATTCCAGAGAAAAAGATACCAGGATCCCTTAAATGAAATAATGTAGGCAAATAATTTACATCAGTCATTCACAAAATTTGGGTTCTCTTTACTCCATACCCCACATTCTATGTTCTATTTATGATTCACTTGATATTTTTCAGTCTACTCCGAACATTGTGATACACACACACACACACACACACACACACACTCACTAATCTTTAAAAATTGTTCATTTTGTGTTTGAAAATTTTCTTTCTATTTTCTGGTACATTTCACTAAGGTCTCATTTTATTAACTACTTTAGAAATTATAGTGCCTTGTTTTGTATATTTTGAGGCACCTTCATTTAGTGGATAATACATTGATGAATGTTATCTTGTCCTCATCTATTGATCTCTTAATCATTATATAATATCCATCCTGTCTCTTGTTATATTTTTTAGCTGAACATCTATTTTGTCAGATATAAGTATGACTACCCCCCAGCCCTTATTGAGTATCTTGTGCTTATAAGATTGTTGCCAACCATTTACTTTGAGACTATGCTTATTTTTGAAGGTCAGATGGGTCTCTTGGAAAAAAACAGAAAGTTGTTTTTTTTTTAATCCAATCAGCCACCCTGTACCTTTTAATTTGTATTTTGGACCCATTTATGTTTAGGGTGATTATTGATTTATGAGGGCTTCTATTGTAATTTTTTCTTTAGTTTTTGAGTCTACTTGTTCAATTTTTTTTGTGAGTTTCCTTTCCTTTATTTTAGGTAGAAGAGTTCCTTGCAACACGGCTTATATAGGAGGTCTAGTGTTTGCAAACTCCTCAGTATTTGTCTAGAAGTCCTTTATCTCTTCCTCATCTGAAAAGAAGTCTTGCAAGATATAGTATTACTGCTGGCAGTTTTTTATCCTTCAGTATTTTGAATATGCCATTCAAGTCTCTCATTGCCTATAGAGTCTGTGCTGAGAATTCTGATGGGTGTACTATTCTATGTACTACCTGCATTTTTCCTACCTGCCTTTAATATTCTTTATTTTAAACTCTTGGTGGTTTCACTATTGTGTGTCTTGATTTAAGTATCATTGCATTAGATAACTGGGTATTCTTTTTAGGTTCATGGACTGGTATATTTATTTTCTTCACCAGATATGGGAAGTTTTTCCCTATTATTTATTTGAAAAGTTCTCTGTCCCTCTCTCTCCTTTCCCTTCTAGAATATCTGTTGTACTTATGTTGTCTTTCCTAATGGAGTCAGATAGTTCTGAGTGCTTCCTCATTTTCTTTTTACATCTTATTTCTCTTTTTTCTACTGTTTTCTAGTGTTTGTGCATTACTATCAAGGTCACTGATTTGACCCTTTATTTGGTCTAATCTGCATTCCTAGCTTACTCTCCTTTTCTTTATCTCATTTCTTGAGGATTTTACTTTCTGAATCTCTTAATATTATACACAAAAATTGAATTTCTACCTTTTGTTCACTTATTTTCCTTCTGAGCTCATTCATTTTTCTGAATTTCATTGTATCTCTTTGATGAGTTTTTCTGAATCCTCTTGTATGACTTTGACTTTGCTTTCTGAATTTTCTTCAATCTTTTTTTTGTTTTCTTATTTAAGCATTTAAAATTTCTGATATGGAAATAAAGTCTTCCATGCATTTGTGGTTGACAAACATAAAAATAGACATTTTCAGCAATGCAATAATAAAAAGCAATTTCAACACCCCATTTATATAAATAGATTAACCAGACAAAACTATCAACAAGGAAAACAATAACCTTCAATGAGAAATTAGCCCACATGGCCCTAATAACCATTTATAGGGCACAACATTCAAAAAAAAATCTCAGTACACCCTTTTCTCAAATGCACATGGAATATTCTTCAGAATATACCTCAAGTTGGATCACCAAAAAGTCAATAAATCCAAGAAGATTGAAGTCATATGAAGTATCTTCCCTAGAACTCAACTGTAAAATGTGGGGAAAAAACCTAATATGTAAAGATGAGGCAACGTGCTACTGAATGACTATTAGACTAGTGAAGAAATCAAAGAAGAGCTTAAAGAAATACCTGGAGATGAACAAAAAGATAGGCATTACCAAAATCCATAAAATGCAACTGAAACAGTACTCTGAGAGAAATGTATAGCAATGTAAGTCTACATCAAGAAACAAGAAAAAAAAAACTCAAATAATCTAATCTAATACCTTAAGGAATTAGAAAATAGAACAAGTGAAAGCAAAAGCTATTAAAGGAAGAAAATAAAAATTAGAGTATAAATTAATAAAATCAAACTCCAAAAGATAGTACAAAAAAATCAATGAAGAAAGAAGCTGGTTTTTTTTTAAGGTAAACACAACAGACGTGCTTTTAGCTAGACTAAGTAAAAAGTAAGAAAATGCTAATAAATGGAAACAGAAAAGAAAGAAGAGACATTGCAGACATTTTTTACATTAGTAAATTAGATAGACAAAAAAGAAATGGACAAATTCTTAGAAACATACTGTGATTCATTGATGTATCAGAAGAAACTGAAAATCTAAACAGACCAATTAATTAAATCCAAAGAAATTGAACAGAATTAGAACAGCACTCAAGATGGTGTCAGAGGAGGTCACCTGCTTTGTTTCTCAGAGATTAATGTAAAGTACTCCAGGCAGGCACTGAATTCAGAGAATCCTGTGACTTGGGGCAAAACTAAAGCATACTGAGAACCTCAGAGGCCAAACATTCAACAAGAGAAATGCTAAGGAAATTCAACTAAACAACAAAATGAAATGGAGGTATAGAGAAAGGAGCCTGGAAAAAAAGTAATCAGGGAGGAAACCTTGACTCAAACCCCTGCTCCTGTGATAGGGCAACCCCAGAGATGGGAGAGCTGCTTAATGTGGACCAAACTGTGGGGACATATGTGCAGCAGAGTTGGGGTGAGCCAGGTGGGCAGGTTCCCCAGTGAAGAATAAGTGCAGAAAGGTGAAACTCCCTCTTGCCACATCCCTCTGGACTTTGGCTGATATAATGAAATTGTGCTTGAAAATGCCTAAAATGATCATTGTAAAGTTGTACTAAATCCTTGTAGGCAGACTGCAGAGACACAGGTCAGAAATCCAGAGAAGAGGGACATCAGTGTACCATATCAAGTTCATTAACAGACACCTCCCCCCAGAAGAGGCAGAAACAAAGTAGTTCTCCCAGACATACAACACTATCTCTGTACACTTAAAACAGGAGATGAAAATATGAAAAGATGGATATATATAACAAAAGCAACTTCAGTCCTCAGGGGAAGACTTCATCACAGGGAGAGAGAGAACAAATCTGTAGAAACCAATCATGAACATGTAAGATCTTTTCTTTCTATCGGATGAAGAGTTCAAAATTGTCATCATAAAATAAATTCCAAGTAATAGGAGAAAACAGAGAAAAACTGACCTAAGATTTGCAAGAAAACTCAGGAAAACAAATTAATGTTTTCAGAAATAAAACTGATGAATGGAAGATTGAAATTGGAAATGCAGGATATAAAAGGATCAAAAGAGGCAATAAAAAATTCTGGAGAAATTTATGAACAGTATAACCAAATG